CCTAGTGAGGCCGAAAGCTGTATAATAGTGGCAGCGATACCCAGTCGATAGTTGATTAATAAAGTGGTGGTTGTTATGAATGCATCATTTTTGGGTGGCCGGAATGCAGGGGTGGCCGGAAAGTGGGTGCTTTGACTTACCCAGCGAGCCTTAGAAATCTTGTTTTGACTGATCGTAAGCACCTTACGCTATGTGATCGACGATGGGTATCCCAGGTGCTGTCTCGCAGGCCCCTCATCATTCCCCCTCAATTGTGCCATTCACAATCAGCGTCCCCCAAGCATCGATTGATGATCTCCAAACACTTCTCAGAGTCTCCAAGATTGGTGCCAAAACATGGGAGAATACCCAAGAAGCTTTTGGAACAACTCATGTATTGCTCTCCGACGCCAAAGCTGCGTGGATAGACCCCGCCCGCTTCTCATGGCGGTCACACGAAGCGCGCATCAATGCCGTACCCAATTTCCTGTTCAAGTTGCTACTCGCAGATGTTGATTTAAATGGGGAACAGGTCTGCAATATAATGTTCACTTTCTTGCGCTCTTCTCCGATCGCAAAGATGCGGTACCTGTCCTTCTACTGCATGGCTTCCCAGGGAGCGTTTTGGAGTACCTGCCCATTCTTGAGCTTCTGAGAACGAGATACACTTCGAAGACACTACCTTACCACATCGTTGTTCCCTCGCTTCCCGGCTACGGCTTCTCATCGATCTCAGCTTCGAGCGACGTTGCATCGTTTGTGGACAGGGAGTTTGACTTCCAAGATGCCACAAAACTTCTTACTCACCTCATGGTCCACATTGGGTTTGGCAAGGCTTACATTACTATGGGGTTTGGGAAGGCTTACATTACTCATGGAGGTGATGTTGGCAAATTGTTTGCGAGGATCATGGCTCAGGAGCATAATGGCTGCAACCCTTGACACAGTACGGCCTCTCTATACCATATTCCTGGCTCCCTTATCTGCGCATGCAAGACTTATTATTAATGCGTCAAAGACCTGACATAATCTAGTGAATGGCTTATTTGCAACGAAGGAGCCTGCCCCATCCCATATGGACGGCTATTCGGAAGAAGACGACCAGCGCATGATCCATGCTCAGGCCTTTTTCGCAACAGGCTTCAGATATTCCCTCATGCATCAGACTAAGCCTGGAACCATTGGGCTCACGGTGGCATCTAGTCCGCTAGCTTTACTAGCATGGTGAGTATCTCGAGGTACCTTTCCCCAACCATTTCTATGTGGTCGTCCTCGTCTATCCCTTCGGCCCCTGGGTATGAAGATGGCCTTCATACTCCTTGATATCTTTGTCTTTCTCCTTCTCCTTCTTCTTCTTCATTTTCTAGACGAGACTTAAATTGCAAAACAGGATCGGCGAGAAGTTCTGGGACTGGACAGAGATTTCGATGCCACTGGAAACAATTCTCGCCAGCGTAACACTTTACTGGCTTACCGACACATACCCACGCTGCATCTATTCCAACCGGTTCCCCGCCACCATCCCTTTCCCAGAAGACAAGCCCTTTGGCGTGTCGAACTTTCCCCGCGAGCTCGTACCTGCACCAAGAGCTTGGGTCGAGAAGACGTTCCCTAACTTGATCTTTTACAAGGACTACGAGAAGGCACCGCCGCATGTTCTGATCTCTCCCGATTTACGAACAACAAAGGCTGACGCAGTTCTTAGGGCGGACACTTCCCAGCCCTGGAGGACCCAACGGCAATGTTAGCCGGCCTAGAGGAATTCCTTGCCAAGGTCAAATCCATGATCCATGCAGACGGGAAGTAAGTCCGCTTGAGCTGAGCGAAGCTTGATTTTCGCGAGACTCACATAGTTCAGCTGAGCTTCTTGATCAACCTAAGACCGTATCTCAGCCCCATGAACCCGTCACATCTCGGTTAAAGCTTCTTTCGAGGATGACAATAACGTAGAAGCATCGCAACTCGCTTCCAAGCCCTCGTAACGGTCGTATGTGGAGTTATTACGAGCGCCTCTTGTCTTTCGGCCATGTGCTGAGCGTCACACAACACGTGGGACCCACATCTAGAGGGCTTCTATTCTCGCCGACCTCATTTCTAGGGAAGAGGCTGATGCTCTACAATGGCATCTTCTCATAGAGGGGCTGGAATCTTGCGCAACTGTGGCTGATGGTGGATGGCCTGACAGGTGATCTTCATGTATGTCTCATACTTCGTGATACCCTCACGTGGTGTACTACATGCAATGTCTCGGTTGGATTAGGGCTGGCTTGGTGAATGCGGAAAAGGGGTAACGGAGAGGGGCAATTCTTGGCCAGATTGATCTGCGTTGATTTCATCATTAGCCTCACCATGTCTTTGAATTTCTCCATTCCTTCCCCGGCAACTCCGATTGGAAGAACACTCAACTATGAAGTCGCGTGTCCGTTCCTGGTTAATGCTCGAGGGGCTCGCGTGCTACAGATGGGTACCACGGAAACATCGATCCTCCAAGGCATGACTTGCCTATCATCTGCGTTGGCAGGAGCTGATGGACCATTACTTGTTTCTGCCATGTTGCAGAAGCTGAAGGTTGATGCCATTCGAGTATTGTATTGATTGACGGGTAGATGCTGTGACACACCCAGTCGTCGATGTGTCACCTCATCGGTCAATGAATGATTTACAAACACGTGGGTTTGATATTCAGGGGTATCTCAGCCTTTGAGGTGTCAGTTCGAGATAGAGGATTCGTATTCCATTTTGATACTCGGTCAATCATCCTTCAGAGCTTCGCTTCCGTCATGGTGTAGTATAACACTCGACGACGAAACGAACAACATAAGAGCTTGCGTACAGAGCTCAGGAGAATTGTAAACATTTGTCATGCCGAGGGCGCTTGGTGGTCTCTGTGGACCAGTATCGATGCAATCACCCATTCCACTGGTCCCGAGTAATGCAATCAAATGCAGCTTTCCGTTGCGAGATTAGGTCGGCCCCGGCAGAGGCCGTGGCAAAATCTTCCGCGGAAGCGCGGATGCGAGTCTAGCGACGTTTTGGTGGTGCCTGTGTCACATGTCTTTCCTCCTGGGAAGGTTGAAGATGCAAGTCTGCCCGAAGGCCAGAGTGTACAATTCTTTCGGCACCGGAACGTGCAGAGGGCGTGTCTCGGGCGGGCGGGGGCGGCTTCGGCAAGTTTGTTGAACCGCAGAAATACGGGTTCTGCATTGTCCCGTCACCGGAAGAAGGTTGTTCTGCAGGTAAAGTCTGATGATTTTGATGTACAGGGAGTAGGACAAAAAGCCACTCTCGGAGAGGAATATGTCACGGAAGATGCCAGCGTGCCGATGTCGGGTTAATCTCTCGCAACTTTCTAGCTGAGCTGAATACCTGTTGGCGTCTGCATCGTCAGTCTGTCGTCTCCGCCAACAACAGCTTCAGCTTGTGATATTTGGGCCATGATCTGATCTCTCGGCCGCTAGAAACTACTAGCGCAGTACGACAGAAGCCGTCCTTGGAATTGTCGGCAATGCTGGTGCATTATGGTCGGAGGCACAAGCGCCATGCGAAACTCGCAACACGCGTGGTGCCTGGATCATTGTAACTCAAAGGCACATGTGGAACTGTTGGCGCTGGAGAGAACAGCCCTAGAACTTGGGCAGGAGAAAAGACCATCTCAGTAAAACTGTGACACAGTTGGACGAGATTTCTCAAGCCCATCCAAACCTCTGTGAACAAGAGGAGATCACATGCGTATAAAGATCAGCCTGATTCTCGACCAAGTCTGCATGAAAGAACTTTCATCATCAGCACATGCAGTCTCGCAATCAAACGGCCACACACTGAGCTACATCACCGCAAACTACCAGATAGCCTTTCCCCTGCCATCAGAATCACAACAAGAAGCACTCTAACCACTTTGGTATTCTGGAGTTGCCCTATTGACCACCAACAAGACTTAACTTTCCAACCTCAACACATTTTATTCAATCATCACAATGGCGAAGTCTTCGGCCAAGCAATCTTCCTCATCCAAGTCAAAGAGTAAGCATCCCAACTCCGTAGGTCTCAGTGATCCCCATACTCATGTCAAAAAAGGCTCCAGCAGCAAGAGTTCTAAAAGCTCCAGCACCGTCCCGGTCAACCGCTCTTGGCAAGACCCCTCGCTGGATCGTGGTCAACGCTCGGCTCAAAGCTCGAGCGCTAGCTACCCTGTCGGGCGCTGGCTTACCGAGCCGTCTTGGGAAGAGCCGTTCAACAACATTGCGGAAGTACCCGCAGCGGGATCGGCCTCGGCCCATGCAGGTGGACACCAGGGATCGGGTGCGGCTGCAACGTATGCCACGTCCCGCAAGTAGCGATAACGCCAGACGGGTTGATGTACATGATGCTTTTAGACCTTGTCAATTCCCTTGGAATTTTCTTTATTTCATAGAATACTAGACTGCGCGCTTGCAATAGACATTTCTGGGCCCAGAGTTTCATAACTACACACAGTCAAGTGCACAGAACCGCCGACCTCCTCACCATTCCATAAGACAAACCAAGATTAGAACTTGACACCGGCCTCCGCCATCTGCATACCGTACTACAAATTAAGTTAGCTTGTCGGATCTCTCCGTTCTATAAAATGACACACACCTTCTTTAAGCGAATAGCTTGTACAGTAATGAACCCAGTCGTGTCCAGAGGATCGAACGTAGTAAGAGAATCCATCGAAGCATCCTCCTCGGAGTACAGCTTCTCATCCGATGAGCGGCCGAGTACATAGATGCTGCCTTTGTATAGGCGAAGTCGGACTTGGCCGTTGACCCTCTGCTGAGAGTAGTCGAGGCTCGCTGTCATGCGTGTGAGTTCACGACCACCTGCTTTTCAAAATTCCCAGTAAATCAAAACTCACGTTGCAGAAACGCCCTCTCAGGGCTAAAGTAAGCACCCTGATAGATGAGCTCAGACCACTGCTGGCTCATCGCGTTTCGCAAAGAGATGACTCGGCCGTCGAGAACACTGGGAGCAGTAAGCAGATACACACAGATTCAAGTGGTGATGCTTCTTACAGCCCCTCGATGGAGATGTGCGCGAGACGGAGGATGGTCATAGCTGGGGAGTCTGGTTTGTGTCAGAACATACTTTTCATGTACACATGAATACGGTGGTCATACCATAGCATCCACGAGACTTGAGTCCGATAAATCGGTTCTCAACGATGTCCTGCCGCGCTTGTCAGCCCAAGTCTGAAGAACCTCTGAAGTTAATCAAAAACCCACAATACGGCCAACTCCATGTTTCCCGCCGATTCGATTGAGCAGTCCAAAGAGCTCAACAGAATCGGTGGCAGTCTGCTGCGGAGTGACCACTTTCACCGGCGTCCCTTTCTCGAAGTGAATCGTGATATCAAGGGGCGCATCGGGGGCATTCAGAGGGGAGACTGTTTTGGTCCACATGTCCTCTGGAGGCGTCACGTCTGGGTCTTCGAGGACGCCCGCCTATGCTCGTCAGCTATGCTTTTCTTATGGTGCTATTCAGGCGGCTTACCTCGTAGGAGCAATGGGCAAAGTTGTCATCCATGGAGAATGGCTTCGCCTTGGTCGACGAGACGGGAATTCCTGAGGTTTTGTTAGCTTGAAAGAGGGTTATTCCTCAGGTCTTGTAGCAGTACCTTTCTCAGCGGCATAGTCAAGAAGATCGATTCGACCCTGTGAAATGGCCTATCAGCTTGTGACTAATACCTCATGAAACGTGTGGGCATACCTCAAATCGCTTGTAGAACTCAGGCAGGCGCCAAGGAGTAATGCATCGTATCTCGGGATTGATCGTGGCGAATGTCAGCTCAAACCTTACCTGATCATTGCCCTTCCCGGTCTGCCAGCGATTAGTCTCGCTTGCAAGAAGTGATGTGATCGGTCGTACACAGTCATGGGATACGAATTTGCACCCTTCTCGGGCAGCAGCCCTCATCTGGCCTCGAGCAATGACTGGCCGAGCCAAGCTAGTTCCTGTATTTTGTCAGTCAGGGTGACTTTCCCTTTCCTTTTCAAGTTTGACATAAAACCTGCTCACCTAGCAAGTAGAGACTCTCATACACGGCATTCTAGACGGTGTCGTCAGTCAAGACTGAGAAGGTGTCCCAAGGATTTCTCACGCATTGGACAGCTTTCCAGCACAACTCTCTGAAAGACGTTAGCTCGAGCAAAGTTGACGTGGGGACCTGCCTTACTCTACGAATTCCCGCTTCAAGTCATCGACGATCAACTACAACGGCACGATCATCAGTAACGAGTTTTGTCTTCTTCGGTCTACAGCCAAGTGCACCGTGAGTATCCGCACCTTTGTCGCGCCTATCTGCAGAGCTATGTTTTGATTTTTAGTATATGCAAGTATCTCGGGAGTTTTCAAGAACTTTACCTTTCTTCTCAACCGAAGCCCAATCGGATTCCTCCTGTCCGACGTCGGCAATGTAGCAGCTTTTAAGGCGTCAGTGGGAGCCACGCCCTTTGATGGTTCGTAAGGTTACGAACATGACTTCGTAATTCTGTTCCACTAGCCAAGCGAGGATGACTGAAGTATCGAGCTAGCGATTGACATCAGTCTTCACGTTTCTGTACCACGTATGTGCCATTTGGGCGGGTTGTGCTGTCAAATGTGAAGCGGTGTTGCATCGGGAGAGAGGACTTACGCCGCCGGAGTAGCTATTGACGATGTTGTTAGCATGTTGCCATGTCTGTAACGATCTGTATTCTGAAATAAACTTACGCGAGACAAACTTTGCCTTTCGACATTTTGGTGGCCGTTTGCGGAAGGGTTGTAATGTTGTTTGCCGACGAGTCAGGGGATCAGGAAAGACGGGAGGCCCAGAGAAAAGATACACAGGATTTCAACTGAAGGCTACATGTAGCTTGCCATATCCTGAGAAAGTTGAAATGCATCTCTTATAGTTTCCAACTTGACCTGTTCAATTCCTACACAGTCTTATCGGTGAGTCAAAGTACGCCCTTCAACGCGCCCCTGCACGCGGCAGGAACATCCCGACCAAAAACTGGCGATTGAGTCAAATCCTACATCGATTCGGAAAGATCTTGCGTCTACTCCAGATAGCCGGGACATGTGGGCGTGCCCAGAGATGAGGCTCCGCGAACAGGTGACCATTTTCGGTGCCGTTTGACGCGCGTGGTCGTGGTGTCTCGTCTCGGCTTTCCTTCCCAGCACGGGCGCGGCCGGCTCGAGCTTCCTTCCCAGGGTGGAGCAGGCTAGCGACGCAGGGGCACTCGACGACGACGATTGATACCAGGGCACATTGGAACTTTGGTGAAATAGTACAGGATCCTTTTTGTCGAGACATGAAATGGGACACTGCTTTCCCCCTTCTACTTGTGAGTCACTGCAAGCTGCAAGCAGTTTATCCGCACCATCCAAGGTCGTCGGCCCTGCGTTAACTAGCGTCTTCCAGAAAGGTATATATATATTGGTGTCCTCGTCCAACCAGGTGAAGACTTCAGCAGAAAACAATGTCCCACCTGCGTTCAATCGCTATTCGCTTCATACAGAAGACACTATGTGAGACGCAATGATTGTCAAGGAGGGAGCGGCACTGCCCGTTTGATTAAGGCAGACGAATCGGTATGTATCTCACCGGCTTGTCGTCCTTGCTTAGAAAGTGTTGATTTGGCTGGAATAAGCAGTGCAGCAAAAAAAGGCGTCCCATCTGATGGAGAGCTCACATCATCACGCGGGGTATTTCTCAGGCGTCCAGCAACGTATTCCCAGTGTATCTGTGATCATCTTCTAGGAAAGTAAAGAAACAGGGAGTTACATACTGAACTGTTGTGAATATCGCCATATGACTATGGGCGGATGAGACGTAGATAATTAAGATGCAATATTTTCACATTGCCACAAACTTAAATGTCTACAGGACAGTCTATCAGGTAAGGTGCGTCACGATTTTGCTGCAGCGTCCACAGCCAACCCCCGTCGTACCATTCAGAGGCTAAACAACCATCGAATGGTTAAGCAACGGCGAAGTATATATTGATCAGTTATGAGCTGTAGTCTTCTGCTATTCCCCAGAAATGATTTGCGTGTCACCTTCAGGGTCTTCTTAGATTGACTTAAACCTGAAGATCCACTGTATGTCAGTTCTTCCGTAGACTATCAGTCAGGCTTTCCGAAACACTGGTAGTCGGTTGTTGTAATTGGCAGCCCCTTTTCTGCTCTGGCGTTGTTGGTTTCTCGCAGTTTATTGCGCATAAAACGCAAGAAATACACGTCAGAGGACAATAGTCAGAGTCGTGCGATGCCGGCACTCCACCGACAAACGCGAAGAAGCATGTCACAATGGAACGCTGGCTATGAAATGAGTAACTTGGTCATTTTCGGTGTCATCTTCTCCCAGTTCTCGCGGACAGTAGTCGTTCGCACCATAAAAGTCTTTATGCGACTTACGGTCGTGTTTTGTTTCGCAAAATGTCCCCCATTGGAGGCAATCCCTACGAGAATTAGATACGAGACATATAAATTACGATGTCATGCCATGCCTACCGTTCCAAATTATGCTTTCAGACTGATGCTTTTGTTCAAAAGAGTAATTTTGGGACGGTGTCAAGTATAAACTTGCGGATCTTTCAACGAGAAATGGGAGGTTTTCATCGTACCCCTCTTGCTCAGCCCACTTTAGCATCTCTTCATTTCTAGTTTATCTCATCACAATACACGATGGACGGTAACAAAAATCCTGACCACACCACGTAATTCCTTAGCAGTGAGACTGATAACAAAGATTTAGAGACTTCTTGCTGATGTTGTTAGTCTTAGTTGTTGATTGTGAAGAACCAGACGACTAACAATCCATAGATTGCGGCTGGCTGGCTGAGTCCTGAGATGAGTGATTGAAGAAATCGAAAGGTTCTGCAAATGTACTTCATCATCAATTTCCCGTGTACGATGAAGCAAGGTCGCCCTCGCAGGCCGATTGGTTCATCCTTGTTAGCACAGGTTTTTGCTGTCATGGACCTTCACTCATCAGCAACTGTAGGATGCACGTATATATATATATATATATATATCCATATATCCTTCGCAATGTAGAGGTTGTTAATTTGTTTCACTAATGCTATTTTGTTGCACAGTTTGATAATGACGTAGGTCTATGGCTGCTGGACGACAGTAAGCAGCACATGTGTAAGACGGATATGGCGAGTGTCCTGATTCTTTCAAGCTCCTTTCTTACTATGCCGTGTGTGTTCCAAACTAGGAATAAATCAAGAACGACGTAGAAGGGCAGAAAAGCACATCAACAGACATTTGACTTCAATGAAGCCACTTTAGGCTTCAAATAAGACTTCAACTGTCTCTGGACAGTCTTTCCTTAGTCCTTACACACCCTCTTGCGATCCCATCTTTGAATCCTGGAAAATGGAGATGTGATTGTCGAAAACACGAATTCAGATTCTGTACTTAAGAGCTTAAATAGACTAGACACCTTACCCTCCCTTCCCCGTGTATCGGGGACAATGACGTTGTCATCATCTTACCAAATACCGGCCTTCGGTTCGCTATGCTCCGCATGATGCGGCCCCCAACCATTTCTCCGAGTCACGACAGGCGAACACACGTCCAGTTCGAATTAAGTATAAAAGCCTTGTGATAACCAGCCGTAACAGCTGGTCTCCGAGCCAGAGCAAATGCCCCCCACCGGATGCCCTCTGGATGGGTAAAGGCTAAAATGAGACTTTTGCGAAGAAACCCATCCCGGCAAGCAACTTTATTCATCAACACAGTCAGGAGGAACTTGGTCTCGGTCCTGTAAACGGGAGCCGCTGTTCAGTTATTGGCTTGGAATAGTCAACGAGAAATACTGGATGGCAGAGCTCTGTATCTTCCAGTGCAAATGGCAGTGAATGGGACGGGAATCTATCAAGTGCACCGGCTTCCCGAGGCCTTCAAGTTCAGGGTGAGGTGCCTTTGCTTTTTTGATTCCTGTGCCTATAGCTTATTGGGTCGGCATCTGGACTTAGGCTTTTACTCGCTTACAACGAGCCTTCTCGACTGACACCCTCGCGGAACGGTTGATGGCATTACGTATATGAAATAAGAGTTTGA